GATCAAAGATAGCTACTCCAGCCCTAGACAGCTGGTCCCAGCGAGGGATCTCAGAGGCGTCAGGAAACTGGCGGCGCCAAGCGTCAGTCAGGCGGCCGAAGCAACGCTGGGCGGAGTGTGGACCACCACACTGCTCACCCGCACGGTCGCCAGTGCGCAGGACGTAAGTGCACGGACCAGGACCCCCACCCCGCTGACGCGCAGAGTACCACTCACGGAGCTGCTGCGGGGATAGGGTCTCCTGACCACGCTGCTGCTGCTGGCGCTGACCACCACCGGAGCCACTCCTCCTCGGCGCGCCACGACCTCCGCCGCCTCCTCCGCCGCCGCCGCCACCACCTCCACCGCCACCGCCACTCCCACCGTCGCCGCCGCCACCGGCGCCTCCGCCTCCACCCCCACTACCACCGCCGCTGCCGCCCCCGCCTCCACTGCCTCCGCCGACACCTCCACTCCCGCCACTACTCCCGCTACCACCCTCACCTCCGCCGCTGCCTCTACCTCCGCCTCCACCGCCCCCGCCGCCTCCACCACCGCCCCTGCCCCCCTTGCTCTTGCCAGAGCGACATCTCCCGCTGGGGGCAGACGCCGCTCCGACCGACTCAAAACCAACAAGGTCGGCCGTAGCAGCAGAGGCGACAGAGGGCAGGAGGGGGGAGGGGGAACACCCCTCAAAGATGGGGGTGCGCGGGTCACCACGAGAGGCCCCTACAGCGAGAATGCTCTTCTCGGCTGCGAGGAGGGACTTCTCGAGGATCTCGACAGTGAGAGTGGTGGGGCAGACTGCGAGTAGGTCGTCCCTGACTCCGCGAAGGGAGTCAGGGAGGCGGGTGACAATGTAGTAGAGAGTGAAGTACTGGGGGGGGGGGTTCTTGGCGCAGAACTCAGCAGGAAGTGCAGCGCGGAAGCGAGCGTCACTAGTGCGCAGGTGGGTAATGAGGTCGGCGACTGTGGCAAAAGCAGCAAGGTCGGGAAAGAGGTACGGTAGCATGAGGCGGCTCAGTGCAGCAGTGGCAGGGGTGGAGTAGCGTGCGATAACGTCGTCGTACAAGGTCTTAGCACTCTTGTACGACCCAAAGTGCGCACGCTCAGCGGGAGGGAGGTGGCGACGCACAGCAAGACGTGCAGCAGCATCGCGTGTGGCCCACTGTGAGCGAACAGTGGCATCCTCAGTAGCAGCAGGGGCGGGAGAGGCACCAGAAGTGAGATCAAAGAGAGAGAGTCCGTCAGCTCTGTCGCACTGTAGGAAAAGCAGTAGGTCGTCTACCCACACGTCAAAGTCAATGGATCTGCCCTCAGCGTCAAAGGCGAGGACACTGGGGGTAGCCATGACAGCAGTAGAGAGAGGGCAGTGCGCAGAGTAAAGCTCAGTGCTCACCAGACAGGGCAGTGCAGGGAGGGCTCGGGCGGCTCGGGCGGCTCGGGCGGCTCGACTGCTGGGCGGCTCGGGCGACTCGGCGGCTCGGGCGGCTCGGGCGGCACTGCAGCTGGGGCGGCTCGGCTGCTGGGGCGGCTCGGCTGCTGGGGCGGCTCGGCGGCTGGGGCGGCTCGGCTGCTGGGGCGGCTCTGCTGCTGGGGCGGCTCGGCCGGGAGATGCAGGGGCGGGGCCGTCAGGTGCAGCGGCGGGCCGGCAGGTGCAGCGGTGGGTCGACCGGTGCAGCGGCGGGCCGGCAGGTGCAGCGGCGGGGCCGTAGGGTGCAGCGGCGGGCCGGTAGGTGCAGCGGTGGGGCCGTCAGGTGAAGCGGCGGGCCGCTGGGTGCAGCGGCGGGCCGTAGGGTGCAGCGGCGGGCCGGCAGGTGCAGCGGCTGGGCCGTCAGGTGAAGCGGCGGGCCGCTGGGTGCAGCAGCGGGCCGTAGGGTGCAGCGGCGGGCCGGCGGGTGCAGCGGCGGGCCGGCAGGTGCAGCGGCGGGGCCGTCAGGTGCAGCGGCGGGCCGGCAGGGCCGCGTCAGAGCCGGCGGCGGGGCCGCGTCAGTGGAGGCGGCGGGGCCGCGTCAAGCAGGCGGCGGGGCCGCGACGTAGCGGGCGGCAGGGCCGCGTCAGAGCCGGCGGCGGGGCCGCGTCAGTGGAGGCGGCGGGGCCGCGTCAAGCAGGCGGCGGGGCCGCGATCAGGAGGGGCAGCGGGGCCGCGAGGGAAATGGCGACCCGAGGGGTCGCTAAAAAAAATGCGCGCCTCGGGGCGCGCTTCGGTGGGCCCTAAAAAAAGCGGTCCTTAGGAAGGACCCGCTCTATACCATGTGAAACAAGTGAACAGGAATGTGTGGACTATGAATGAAGGCAGTACAAATATGAAACCCTAACTGGGTTGTACCCCCTATGGGATACCCCACTACAGCCTACACAATAGTATAGGCTAAAGATATGTTCTGACAATGCCCGCCCCTTTGGTAGGGAAGCTCTCGCTGCCAAAGACTCTGCGATCGCCCTGCCTGAACTCGGCCTCGTCGACTCCGTCATTCGTGCAGTTGCCGAACATCTCGGACGCTCCAGCAACTCTCACAAGACTTTCTTTGACCTGTAGAAGGTCTTCACGCAGACGAACCTCGAGGTTCAGGGCATCCATGCCGTGCGGTGGTTGAGCCGCGGTGACGCCATCGCCCGTTTCGTGAAGGTTTTCCCGGCGGTGGTGGTCCTACTTGAGCGGCTGGACCCCACGATGTACCTGGTGGTGACATCTCTGAAGTTCCATGTCTTCCTCTATTTCCTTGCAGACATTCACGTCGAGCTGAACATGCTCAACCTAATGTTCCAGAAGCGCGAGGTAATATGCTGTCAGCGAATACGCGCGTATGCCTGTGCTTCTCTGTGCTTATTCTCCTCTCTGTTGTGCTATCCCTACCCTACCCCCCCCCCCCCCCCACCACCAACCTGCAGGTGGACTTCATCGCTGTGCAATCCCAGGTGCGGCGGATCCTCGTGTTCCTCCAGGAGCGTTACATCGATTGCGGTCAGCAATTCGGGGGCAGTGCAAGCGCAATGCTGTCGCCGTTTCTCGCGCGGCACAGCTCGCCGTGCAGCCGAGACGTACGTGTGCAAGGCGTGGACGGTGATCGTCAGCCATGCACTCACGAGTTCACTCTGCACGAGACAGCTGTAAAGGGCTACACCACCAGCGCGGGAGACCTCCAGTCGTGTGTGCGGACATGTCGGTCGTTCGCGACGGAGCTAATATACAATATTAACTTCCGCCTCAGCAGTCTGTCAACCCTTAACTCTGCTAAGCTCTTCATGCCACGCACCTGGCCGCGGGGGAGAGAGGCGAGAGACGCGGAGTGCCTTGAGCATCTGGACGGCCTCTACACCATGTTCCACGCGCGCGAGCGAGAGGAAGTTCTACCAGGTGAGTAAACCTCCCCCTCGTATTCGTCTTTGTGATTTGCTCCGGTATACGATTTTGTTGTATGTGTCAATAAGCATGATATGGCCCCTTGAGTTGCACTACGGTCCCTTGCTATCCATCACCCGTCCCTTCTGCCAGGTGTGACGAAGCGGGAGTGCAAAAGGGAGATGCGGACCTTCTTGTCGGTTCTATCCGGGGCGCCGAAGGAGGAGCAGGCCTTCCATGCGGGCCTGAAGGCGATGATGGCCACTGCAGACTGGCCGAGGAGCTACCCCAACCTGGTGCGGCTATGGGTAGCAGTGGCGGTGTTGCCGATTAGCACTGTGGAGTGCGAACGCGGCTTCTCCCGACAAAACATCATCAAGAGTTGGCAGCGGACGGGATTGCACGACGCGAAGCTTGGTGATCTCATGACGCTGAGCTTGCTGGAGTACGACGTCGAGTGGAAAGACCTTGTGGAGCTGTGGCGCAGCACGAAGAAGCGCCGCCCAACCAAGCGTAAGAGCAACCCCCCTCATGCCGTGAAGAAGCGTGGTGGTGGTGGTGCAGCTGATGGTGGCAAAGGCAACAGCAGTGACAGGCAGCAGGAGAAGGCCGACCATGGCGATGGCGGCCATGACTCAGATGATGATGTTGCAGGAGGATCTAGTGATGGTGATGATGTGCTGATGGAGGATGCTAGATGGATTTGAATAATGATTGTATTGTCAGAACGTGGAATGAAAACGTTTCACATACATAACAGTGTTGGTAAAGTAGTTTTTTACCCCCCTGACAAATCAGGATTACACTAGTTTTTACCCTGACAAGGCAGGATTACATTAGTATTTACCCTGTCAAAACAGGATCCTGAATGCACCTCAGCACTGATCAATCAGGGCGAATTTTTTTTTTTTTGGGGGAACTGCTCTGATGGGTCAGGGTCCCCTGAATCCTATCTGAGGCCCTGAATACGGTATGCCTGAACCTGGATTTTTTTTCCTTTGCAACCTTTCGGGACCGTTGCGCAGTGCCACGTCATCCAACGCATTTTGTCGCGCACCTCACAAACGATCAAAACTTCTAATACAAAATGCGTTTAATCCGAAATTCTGGTGTTTGAGGCGAGTCTGACAAGGGGCTGGCCTGGCCCGATAGGGCCCGTAGGAACACGCTCTTAGTGTCAATGCATCCTAAAAATGGCATGTGTTTAATCCAGCAACACTGCCTTGCAGGCTTGGCCTGCCACCGCAGCAGCTATGCAGAGGCAGGCTGTCAGTCAGTCGCAAGCAACAAAAAACATTCCTCTGGCTAGCCTCAGGAAACCACACAGATGCCCTGACAACACATGCTCTACCAGCCTACCAGACATGTTTGATTTCACACAAAACTTGTCAAACACCACTACTGCCTGAGGCTTAGTACTTCGAATCTATAGCTGCCTAAAACACAGTCAAGTGCATGCACGCAGTCCCCGTAAACTACACAGCTTGGGTGCCTTGGACAAACAGCGCAAGTGACAATGGCTGTGGGCATGGCTTCTCCATGCACGCACGCGGACCACCATGAGAGGTGCACGCAACACGTGTCCAACCGATCCCAAGGAGGAGTGGTGAGGGTTGCCAGCAGCAGTGCGCACAGAAGAGGTGCCAAGCAACAAGCCCCATACCACCGTGTGCGTACATCATGCAGCACCGCCCTGCTTGCCCCTGCCTAGGATCTTGGCCACCCAGCTGCCCGAATCACCCATGCGCCGGCCCTCACTGGAGCCCTCCTGCGACCGGCTCAGGTTGATGGCCGACCCCCCCGTGTGGCGCTGCTCCAGCAGTGGCACCGCCGGCAGCTCCCCCACAGGCGCCTTGCTCTGCACCTCTGCCGTGCGCTCACTGTCACTGCGCAGCCCCTCCATCTCCACTGTTGCCCGCGCCTCCATCAGTGCCGCTGCTGCCGCTGCGAGAGCAGTGCTGGCGTGTGCCATGCGCCACGTGGCAACATCCACCTCATTGGCGGGGTTCACATTGCACGCACACAGCACCTCCCGTGACCACCCGCCCGCCCATGCTGCATCACCCACCGCCGCTTCATCATAAGTCGCCATACCTTGTGCAGGCGCACCAGCGCTTGACGCCCTCTCCTCATTCACTGCCTGCAATCCATCAATGCCTCCAGGAGCAGCGTCAGGAGCGGCAGGAGCGGAGAGCGTGGCGAGGTAGGTCTTCTTGACGGCGTGCAGCGCCTTCACCACCTCCACCATCTCGGGGCGCCGCGTGGCGGGCTGCTGCACGCAGTGCGCTGCGATCTGAGCCATGGAGAGCAGTGCAGGCAGATTGAGTGGTGTGGCAACGCGCGTGTCAACGATGAGGTGGATGTGGCGCGAGGCCACCAAGGGCAGCACCACCGTGGTTATGTGCACCAGCCGATCCTTGTCGTCTGGATCCCTCTCCATCGCCTCCCTCCCCGTCACCAGCTCCAGCAGTAGCACTCCAAAACTGACCACGCACACACCAACCCAATGAGCCGTGGGGAGGAGAGCACAATGGGAGGGGGCATTGTAGAACCACAACGAGAGTTCAAGTTACATATGTGAGTGACCCCCCAATAAGCAGTGGGATGAGAGTGCAAAGAACGAGTGTGGCAGGGCAACTGCGTGGGTACAAAGGATAGTTGAGGGACACAAAGCACGAATGCAGCGGCAGAGAGCGCGGCAGTATGCATCGCTGCGGTACCTGTAGACATCGCTGCGGTACCTGTAGACATCGCTGCGGTACCTGTAGACATCGCTGCGGTACCTGTAGACATCGCTGCGAGTGGTGAGCATTTCGAGCGTCATGTAGTCGGGATCCATGTAGCCCCGCGTGCCCGCCACCTTGGTGAACGTGCCCATCTCCTCCTTGCCCACCTCCCTCAGCAACCCAAAGTCCGCTATCTTCACCTGCACGCCCGCCCACCCACACCCCCACCCACGCCCACGCCCACGCCCACGCCCACTCGCACGCGCGCGCGCACGCACGCACGCATGCACGCACACACACACACACACCCACACACACACACACGCACACGCACACGCACATGCAAACGCACATGCAAACGCACATGCACAAGTGTGGATGAGTGGAATGTGGGAGGAATGAGGAGGAGGTGACTCGTGGAACATTGAGGCAGAGAATTGCTCGCCCCCTGAATGAGTGGCGCCCTGTGGGGCCTGGCCTTGGAAGCACGGCGCTGACGGGCATGGCCCAGGTGGCAGGAGTGGCAGTGGGGCGGGGGTACCTGGTAGTCGTCAGTGAGCAGCACGTTGGAGGGCTTGATGTCACGGTGCACGGTGGGGCGCTCCGTGTGGTTGTGCAGGTACACCAGCCCCTCCGCCAGCCCTATTGCCGCCTCCACCCGCTGCTCAAACGACAGCAGCTGCCCTGCTGCCGCCCACCCCCCACACACGCACGCCCACCGCATCACATCACACAGGGGGATAGGTCACGCGGCATGCACATTGGTGCAGTGGGACGTGGAGGAACAAGGTACATAGCAGGCATGACATGAGCAGCTGAGCAAGCGAGGGCAGGATGCGGTGAGGGGAGGAGAAAATCTGAGAAGAAGCAGATGTAGATGAGGCGAGGGGAGGATGCGCGGTGGAGGGCTTGCCTTTGATGGTGCCGTAGAGGTGGTCGGAGAGGGGCCCGTTGGGCACGTACTCATACACGAGCACCTGCTCCATGTGGTCGTTGCAGTAGCCCAGCAGCCGCACCAGGTTCTTGTGGTACAGCCGTGACACCGCCTTCACCTGCACCCCCCACACGCCCCCCACAGGCACGGCCATTCACACGTCGTGGAGGCGGAAAGTGGCAACAGGAAGCAGGCGAAACGAGAGCAAGGGAAACGAGGGTGCGGAGCAAGGGAGAGAGTATGGAGAGCATGTGGGGGGGAGTGGCACCTCCTCCTCGAACATGGTGGCTATCTTGGAGGAGCGCTCCACAAAGGCCGCATGCTTGACGGCTATGAGCTGGTCCCGTGCATCGCCCTGCCCCAGGTACACGGTTCCAAAGCCCCCCTTGCCCAGCTTCCTGCCCTCGCTGAAGCTGTCCGTGGCGTCCATGATCTCCCTCCACGTGTACTTGCGGAAGCCCCGGTCCAACTCCCGCTCCCATGCTGCCACGCCCCCCACATGCACGCACGCATGCACACAAGCACATTGGGTTAGGGAGCAAAGCGAAAGCAAGGCTTGGGGTTGCATGGCAACAAGACTTGAGTGGCTGAGTCGAAAGAGGAATAAGTTGTGATGATGTAAGAGGAAAACATTGGCTTCATTAGAACAAGAAGGTATACACAGTGGTGGGAAGAAGGGAGACGTTGGTTGAGTTTTTGGCCACGATCATTGGGCCCCACCAACAAGTTGGGCTTCAAATGTATTGCGGGCTTCCAATGGTCTCCAATATCTCCAAACCCAACCTTGGAGGTACAAACATTTTGAGCAGAGCTTGGGATGGCAACCCCAATAAGGGTAAAAAGTTGTTGTATACCCAAACTAAGTTTGGGTGCCTAACTCTATTCAACATCATAGCATATCTGTAAGATGGAACGAGAGGATGATAATCCGAGACAAGTGGGTGAGAGGAGGGGTATGGGGGAAGCAGAGAGCAGCACTGACCCTGTATGCGGCCTGGGCCGAATCTGTAGTACCAGATGTAGAGCGCGAGAGCCAGCACTAACAGCAGCGCCACAGAGCACCCCACTGCAATTCCTGCTATCACTGCGGGCGACATGCCTGAATGGGGAGTAGGCAGAACACACACAGTCAGGCAAGGCGCAAGCAAGGGAGGATGGAACACAAGGGAGATGTGCGGAGCAAGGGAATGGAGCACACTAGGAGGGGTAAGGCGCGCGTACCTGGAGCACAGGCGGAGCAGTACTGGGGGCAGAAGTTGACACAGAAGGGCAGGTCCTGGATGGGGCTGCCCGTGGGGCAGCACAAGTCGGAGGACGGGCAGGCGAACTGAAGGCGTGATGCCGCACTGGCAGGGGCATACAGAGGGGCGGGGGCAGTGCACGGGGGGCAGTGGCAGGCGTGCAGGGTTGAGAAGAAGCACGCCTGCAATGGAGCGTGCACGGATGGGGTGAGGGCGGATCATAGTGCACGAACAAGGGCACTTGCGCGACTAGGGGAGGCGACGAGGTGCGAACAAGGGAAGGGACGGGACGGGGAGAGGAGAAGACGCAGTGGCGGTGGGTGCAGCGAGGGGCGCACATGGTTCCCAGGGAGATGATGTTGGCCCAGCACGCAGGCAGTGTGCCGTTGAGCTTGGGGTTGCCAATGAGCGAGCTGCAATACAAGGGGGGAAGGCGCACAGCACAAGGGCAGGGTGGCAGTCCATGGGATGCACAGTGATGCTGTGCCTGGCAGCAGTGTGGGCAGTGCAACGGGGTGTGCACGAATGTGTGAGGCATAAGCAGGGTGCGGGCACACATGGGCACACATCTGTACATGCGGTGTAGCACGTGTGTGGGTACGACTGACATCTCAATGAGGTTGGTGAGGTTCCCCAGTGACTCAGGCACCGCCCCAGACAGATCGTTGTTGCGGAAGTGCCTGAGGGCACGCCACACACACAGCAGCACAGTGGCACAAATAGCAGCACATGGCTTGGGGAACGATAATTGAGGTGTTACTTGGCATAAACCAACACTGCTTCCTCACTCTCTTCGTCTCCCCCCCTTTTTCCCCTCACGCGCCCGCTTTTGAGTCGACTCAAAAGCTTTCCCCTCACGCGCCCCTTGACCCTGCCTCCCTCAGGGCGCCGTGGGTGTGCCCAGGGCGGCACGTACAGGTACTGCATGCGCGTGAGCAGCCCCAGCCACGTGGGCAGCGCGCCGTACAGCTGCATGTCCCTCAAGTCCCTGCGCCCCAGGGGAGTGCGCGGGGGGAACACGGGCACAAGGTGAGGGCGGGAGAGCAGAGAGCAGCATGTGAGGAGGCGAAGATGGTACATATGGCACGGAGTGTGGGCACACCTGAATGGCCGCACATAAGGAAGTGGGCGGCGCATGAGGGCAAGCGAGGGGCAGAGGGTGGTGAGGCGGGGCAAGCAGTGGTCATACAGGTGGGTGAGGTTGCGCAGCTGGCTGTAGCTCTGAGGCAGCGTGCCGTGCAGCTTGTTGGAATAGATCTTCCTGATGCCCGTGCACATGTGTGAGGAGTGATAGCACAGCAAGAGAGGAGCAGAGTCAAGGAAGAGCAGCGCGAGGGGAGGGCAGAGGGAGGGAGAGCAGAGCGAGGGTGGAATAACATTGAAGGCGCTGGCATGTTCCCATACTAACATGTGCATGTGGTATGGCATCCATGATTGTCTCCTTCACTGCGTGCATGTGCCAGGGTCGATAGCGATCGTGGTGGTGCATGCGCCGTGCATAGGAGCATGGGTCACGGGTGCATTGATGCACGGAGGCACCCGGCTGATTGCACGGGAGCATGCATGCATGGGATGGGAGCATGGGAGGAGGGATTACAGGATCACGAGTTGAGTCATGTCCCCAAGAAACGCAGGGAAGGGTCCCACGAACGAGTTGTTGTTGGCGTAGCTGTGCGGGCAGGAGGGGGGGAGGGAGCGAGATAATGAGAGAGCGAGAGCGAGTGTGTGAGTCAGTGTGTGTGTGTGTGTGTGGGAGTGAGTGTGTGAGTGAGCGAGTCGTGTGTGTGTGTGTGTCACTTGTTTCCATTCGCACAAAGATACCGATAGCCTTGTTGCAGTCCATACTAACATCCAGAACGTCAAAATCATAACACCCATTACAACCACAGTGGACACAGTCACACAGCAGTAATGCTTGCCGCATGCAGCAGCGGCATGAGCTGGGGCGTGGCACCGCACGGGAACAAGACGAGTGGGAAGAGGGCTGGCGGGTGGGGGGAGGGCTGGAGGGTGGGGGGAGGGCGGGCGGGTGGGGGGAGGGCTGGCGGGTGGGGGGAGGGGTGGCGGGTGGGGGGAGGGGTGGTGGGTGGGGGGAGGGGTGGCGGGTGGGGGGAGGGGTGGCGGGTGGGGGGAGGGGTGGCGGGTGGGGGGAGGGGTGGCGGGTGGGGGGAGGGGTGGCGGGTGGAGGGAGGGGTGGCGGGTGGGGGGAGGGGTGGCGGGTGGAGGGAGGGGTGGCGGGTGGAGGGAGGGGTGGCGGGTGGAGGGAGGGGTGGCGGGAGGGGGGAGGGGTGGCGGGTGGGGGGAGGGGTGGCGGGTGGGGGGAGGGGTGGCGGGTGGGGGGAGGGGTGGCGGGTGGGGGGAGGGGTGGCGGGTGGAGGGAGGGGTGGCGGGTGGGGGGAGGGGTGGCGGGTGGGGGGAGGGGTGGCGGGTGGGTACATCATGGTGAGGTTGGTGAGGGCGGTGATGACCGATGGGAAGGGCCCTGAGAAGCTGTTCTTGTGCATCTGCCTGTATGGGGCAGGGGGGCAGCGGGGAGCAGGGGGGCAGTGGAGAGAGGAGAGAAGGAAATGAGGTTGAAGGAGAGACGGTTGTGAAGTGAAGTGCATGGGGTACACATGCACGGCATGGTGGGTGTTGTGCCATGCACAAGGGGCACGCAGTGCTCATCCACCATCCCACCAGCACGACACTGGGTGCAGTGGGAGGTGATGCGTGCAGTGTGAGGTGCATGCGTGCAGTGTGAGGTGCATGCGTGCAGTGTGAGGTGCATGCGTGCAGTGTGAGGTGCATGCGTGCAGTGTGAGGGAGGTGGGAACCGTACAGCTCATTGAGGGAGGAGAGCAGGCTGAGGGTAGCCGGGGGGGAGCCGTTGAAATTGTTGCTACTCACCTGACTGCACAGGGAGGGAGGAGAACGAACATGAGAGACACCGAATGAAAGTACTAAAAGATAGAGGGTGCACGGTGTTAACAGGATGGAGTGTTGGCCCCGCCCTCGCTTGGGCAACGCCGACGACTTGGTCAGATGTACGGGAGTAGCAGCCGACCGTTCACAGTGGAAGAGCTGCTCGACAGACTTCGTCGAGCTGCAGGGGACCATTGTGGTGTTGCTGTCGACCAGGGAGCTCGACAGCTGCAACTGACTGGTCTGGGCGACGGGTGGGACGTCGACCAGGACCTGCGGTTCGACGGGGAGGTCTCCGGAGCATCCCGTCGACCTGCAGTTCGACCGGGAGGTCGACAGAGCAGTTCTGGTCGACGGAAGGGGTCTGTCGACCAGGGGGTAGCTCGACGGGAGTTGTGGTCGACCAGGAGCGCCTGGTGGTCGACCAGAGGGACCCAGTGGTCGACCGGAGGCACCTGGGGGTCGACCAGAGCACCAGGGGTCGACCAGGTCGACCGGGTAACCTGCTCCACGAGTTCTGCGGAGGCTTGCGAACGTCGTCGAGATCGCGATGGCGCAGGCGCCTTCGGGCTGGTATCCCGAAGTCGATGTGGCTCGTCAGGCGCAGACAACAGCCGACGGATGCCCAACGAGGCAAGTCGGGCCAATCGTCTGCGCACACCTGTGAGCGTGCACACTGCTGTGTTTTACGGGGCACGCCGTCGACCTGCTTTGTTGGCAGGTCGCCCTTCTGCAGTGTTGGCGCGGCTCCTCTACGCAATGCTGGCAGGCGGTCGACCGAGCTGCGCTGGCGGTCGACCAGGCTAGCTGCAGGGTTGCTAGGTGCCTGATGTAGTCATTGTTGTCATTGCTTCTTGAATGATTTTCAGTATTCTCAACTTTGCTAGTGGAAACTCTTGTCAATCTCTCCCGTGAATGTGCAAGCACTAAGGAACCAAGCAAAGCTACGATCACCTCTAGTAGTTCGTGCCAACCCTGTAGTCTAGCTCACTACCGTTGTAGAGTGAATCTCCGCATGGTGCGGTGAGCGTGGATTGAACACGCGACCTTCAGATAGGAGCCGACTTTTGCACCTACTAAGTCGTTCATAGGCCGGCAGCAGCGATAATCGCCATGGTCGACCCCGTAGTTGATGCGGGTGTAGCGGACACCTTGGAGGCACGTTTAGCTGACGCGAGGAGACGCCACGCGGATGGCGAGTACGGGACGATCCCCTTGGTGATCGCCGAGTTGGGCATCCGGTCGCAGTGGGCGACGGAACACCCTTCCCGTCCTACTTCTCCTCGACCGGTGCGCAACGAAGGTGGCGTCGACGACGAGGTCGACAGTGGTGCACGAGTCAGCGGCAGCGAAGGCACGAGGCAGAGAGGAGTGATCAAGGTCGACGGTGGTGTCGACGGAATCCAGGCGCGAGCGGTCGACGGCTGCTGCAGGGAGCTCGCGTGCCGACGTTGATGTTCGACGCCGTTCTCCTCCACGAAGTGGTGGAGGGCTCTCGGTGACGACACACGTGACGACGGGCGGGATTGCACCGGCGTATGGCTACTTCAAGTTCTCGCCGGACCGGATCGCCGTCACACCGCTGCAAGGTCGACGGGACCTCATCACCTGGAGGGAGTCGATTGAACCTCAGCTAGAGGTCGCCGGGCTGAAGGGCTTCGCCGATGGCACCGTGCCATTTCCGCCCGAGGAGAACGTCGAGCTACGCGGGGAGTTTCGTTCTGCTCACCTGCTCACCTTCATGGTCATCTCGAGGTGCTACTCGCCAGTGGTGCAGCTAGCGCTCAGGAGCTGTCGAGAGCGACTGGATGCTGGTCACCAGGCATGGCACTTCATCATGTCGACGTACCAGGCCAAGGACGACCTGTACATCGGACAGCTAGAGGAGAAGATGACTCACATTCGAATGGGCGAGCATGAGTCGGCGACGGACTACTGCAACCGAGCTCGACGGATCCTAGCTGAGATGAGGATGGCGGGCGCCGAATACTCGACGGCGTCCTACATCACCCACGTCCTCAAGGGCCTGTCGCGCAGCTACAACCTCATGAAGAGGTTTACGATGGTGCCCGGCACACGTGAGTCCCTCGACGAGGACTCCCTTACCACCTACATCCTCCAGGATGAGGCGATGCAGGAGGCAGAACAGCCCACGGAGTTCCTTCCGCAGGCGAGTTACGCTGCACCTACGAAGCCGAAGTGTCAGCACGAGCAGCGCGGGAAGCCAGGCGGGGGTGGTAGCGGAGGTGGGCGGTCGACGAAGGACGTCGACGAGAAGAGGGCGACGCGGGACAAGGGTCGACGAGGTGGTGGTCGACGGCGGGAGTGCTGGATCTGTGGCGACCCAGACCATCTCTCCTTCGAGTGCCCCGACCACGATGACAGCGACGAGGACGACAACAAGGGAGGCCGCGGTCGATCGGCCAGTCGTCGCCCCCGTCGAGTTGAGAAGCCGCGCAAGGAGAAGCAAGCGTCGAAAAAGACGTCGTCGACGAAGGATGTCGACAGCTCCAGCGGCAAGAGCCGAGGCAACGGGGAGGCGTCGTGGTCGATGGTCGGCGTGGTGGAGCCGACGGTCTCGCTAGCACCGGAGGCTGGCGACAACTTCCAGGCAGTGGCGGCAGCTGTGCAGGCCAACCCGATGGCGGTGCTGCTCGACAGCGGGTGCTCCCACCACCTGATGGGGACGAAGTCGGTCTTCGTCGACATGGGGCCGAGCGACGGGGTGAAGCACGTGCGTGGGTTCAACGGGGCATTGCAGCCTGTCGAGGGTCGCGGAACCGTCGCTCTGCAAGGGGAGGCCGAGAAGCGGGTCCTCATCCCCGACGTACTCTATGTTCCGGACGTACAGGCAAACCTGTTGTCTGCTGGTCAGCTGAAGGAGAGCGGAGTGCTGCTGCAGGGCGATGGCGATGAGATGCTGCTTGTCGCCGCGACCGGGGAGGTGCTCGGTCGAGCACGCTACACTGGACGAGTCTTCTGCACCGACCTTCGCCCCTGCTCGACGCAGTCGCCGTCGACCGAGGTGGTGGCTCTGCGAACGATCGTCTCGGCGACGAAGACGGCCCCCGATAGGATGCATGCGCGGCTCGCACACGTCAGCGTCGACACGATCAAGAGCTCGGCGAAGCATGATGTTGCTACTGGGCTCGATCTCACGTCGTCAACCGGAGCAGACCCGCCGTGTGTCTCGTGCGTCGGAGGAAAGCTGGCGCGGCACACTTTTCCCGCCAAGGGCTCGGATGCAGCGGAGGCGCTGGCTGTCGTGCACATTGACTTGTGCGGGCCAATTCGGGTGGCTGCCAAGGATGGCAGCTTGTACTTCCTACTGCTGAAGGATCGCCATACTCGGTTCGTGTGGGCAATGCCGGTCGCTAGGAAGAGTGACGTGCTGCGGGAGTTCGAGAAATGGCTGGTGCTTGTGGAACGACAGACGAAGAAGTCGGTCCTGTCGCTTCGCTCCGATCGAGGAGGGGAATTCCTCGGGAAGGCGTTCACCGACTTCGTCGATGGGAAGGGCATCGTCCACGACCTGACGTGCCCCTACACTCCGCAGCAGAATGGCATGGCTGAGCGGGAGATGCGCACGGTCGTCGAGTCCGTGCGGACGATGCTACTGCACATGGGCGTGCAGCATCACTGGTGGCACCTTGCTCTACGACAAGCGGTTTGGGTGCGCAACTGCTTGGAGCGGTCGACGACGCCGCCGGGAACGACTCCGTACCAGCTGCTGACCGGGCAGAGGCCCGACCTTACGCTAGCGCGGGTGTGGGGCTGCATGGTGCACTTGATGGTTCCCGAGCAGCAGCGCGGTGGGAAGCTGGCGCCGAAGGCTCGTTGGGGGCTTCACCTGGGTGTGTCGCCGGAGAGCAAGGGCTGGGAGGTGCTCGACCTGACCGACAACAAGGTGGTCACGTCGGTCGAGGTGATCTTCTACGAGACGTTGTCGCTGGAGGTGTGGAAGGCGAAGTATGGGCCGGCGTCGGAGCGGACGCAGGCGCACCCGCCGACGGCCACCTCGACAGCAACGGTTCCACTGCACGCCGATGTCGACGAGCCTGCTGATGAGGATGTTGTGGCGGTTCTTCCACCTCCCCTTGTTCTTGCTCCTCCCTCTCCCGTCCCAGATCGACCTGCTTCGACACCTGTGTCGGCCACCGGCGATGAGGGGAGCCTTGAGGCGCCGCCTGTGGAGCCGATCCATGACATCGCCAACGATCTACAAGGCGCCAAGCTCGTCGACCAGGATGGGAAGCCGTCGACGACAGGGGAGCAGCCAGGGGAGCCGGTCGAACAGGAGTCTATAGCAGCGGTGCACCCGACAGGGGAGCAGCCAGGGGAGCCGGTCGAACAGGAGGCTATAGCAGCGGTGCAGCCGACAGGGGAGCAACAGTCGAGGCGGTCGACAGGGGAGCTGTCGAAGTCAACAGCGGGCGAGCAGCCGGTCGACGGGTCGAAGCAGCTGGTCGACGGGTCGAAGCAGCTGGTCGACGACGAGGATGTTGATGCGGAAGGGGAGCAGTCGGCGGGTGAGGAGTCCACCGAGAGCGACGTGGTGGAAGTGCCGATCAGGAAGCCTGAGCTGCGACGCACAGGTCGAGCTCGACGGCCACCGGAGCGGCTGAGCTTCCACGCCTGCCTACCGCCAGCTGCCTTCACCACGGTGTTCGACGAGGTCGACGACGACCTGTTATACGACGACGTCGAGGAGGACGAAGACCTGTTGGAGCTCGACCCTGACGTGCATGCCGACCCCGAACGCCGCTGGGACATCGCCATGATGACGGTGAAGGAGGCGCTGTCGAGCTGGAAGGGCGAGGCGGTGAAGGCCGCCATGGAAGAAGAGATCCGCAATCTCATCGGCATGGGGACTTGGGAGCTGGTCGAACGCCCACGCGAGGTGAACATCATGAAGAACCGGTGGGTGCTGACGACCAAGTACCGCATCGACGACACCGTCGAGCGCGAGAAGGCGAGACTGGTCGTGAAGGGCTTCACGCAGGTGTACGGTGCCGACTACGACGAGACGTACTCGCCGATGAGCAGCTACGTCACGCTGAGAATCGTCCTCAGCATCGTCGCCGTTATGGACCTCAACCTGATGCAGCTCGACATGAAGAACGCTTTCCTGCAGAGCAAGCTCGACAGGGTGCTCTACATGTACCAGCCGAACTACTTCGACGACGGGACCGACCGGGTGTGCAAGCTGCTGAAGAGCCTCTACGGGCTGAAGCAGTCGCCGCTACTGTGGTACAGGGCTCTCGACAGTGTGCTGCTGGGAGCTGGCTGGAAGAAGAGCCAGGTCGACGAGGCGCTCTACTTCAAGGCCGGCGACGATGGAGTGACCTGCTGGGTGCTGGTCTACGTCGACGACCTGCTCGCCGCCAGCAGCAGCACCGCGATGCTGAAGGAGCTGAAGGATCTGCTGGAGGCCGCTTTCGAGCTATGTGAGATCTCACCGGTGGTGAAGTACCTTGGGCTGGAGATCTTGCGCGACAGGCCGGCCAGGAAGCTGTGGCGGCACCAGCAGGGCTACGCCGACAAGCTACGCAGGCGCTTCATCGACGAGGAGCAGGGCGGTCGAGTCCCGAAGACGCCAATCTCGGTTGACGCCTACGCTCAGCTGACGTTCGACGACGAGGAGGCTCAAGAGCGCGAGGAGGAGGAGTACCGTTAGAAGGTCGGCTCGCTGCAGTTCGCGGCGACGACGACCAGGCCGGACATCGCGTTTGCCTGCAGCAAGCTGGGGAGCGGCCTCACGGCGAGGAGCGACCAGCATTGGCGCGAGGTCGACCGCTGCCTCGCCTACCTCGCCGACACCCGCGACACTGCCCTGGAGTTTGGCGGTGGACCAGAATCGTTGGAGCTGATCGGCTACGTCGATGCCGACGACGCGGGCGACAAGCAGAACCGGACGAGCACGGGAGGCTACGTGTTCGTCTACGGAGGGGCCGCCGTCTCCTGGTCGAGCTCGCGCATCAAGTGCGCGACATTGTCATCGACCGAGTCGGGGTACGTGGCGGCAACGGACGCCGGCAAGGAGGGGCGTCGACTTCGCTTCCTCCTTCCGGAATTCAAGCTGCTCGACGCTGGGAAGCCGACCATCCTCCGCGTCGACAACAAGTCGGCAATCACGGTCGCTGAGGGCTTGGGGCTGACGGGCAACCTCAAGCACATGGAGCGACGCTACGCCTGGCTGCAGCACATGGTGAGACGCGGGAAATTTGTGCTGAACTACATCCCGACCACCGAGCAGCCGGCGGACTTCCTGACGAAGGCGCTGCATTTTCCGGCTTTCAACCGGTGATTTGTCGCCATCGGCCAAGTTCGTCTGGTCGACGTCAGCGACGGCGACGACGAGGTGCAGCAGTAGGTGCCGTGCCCTTCTGCACGGCTGGTGCGGTGACGGCGTGCTATGTGTGGGGTGCACGCCGAGGACGAGTTTTTCCGTGGAGTACTGCCGTGTGGGCTGGAGGCCCAAGCGTGAGCGCGGCAGGGGAGTGTTAACAGGTTTGGAGTATTGGCCCCGCCCTCGCTTGGGCAACGCCGACGACTTGGTCGGATGTACGGGAGTAGCAGCCGACCGTTCACAGTGGGAGAGCTGCTCGACAGACTTCGTCGAGCTGCAGGGGACCGTTGTTGTGTTGCTGTCGACCAGGGAGCTCGACAGCTGCAACTGACTGGTCTGGGCGACGGGTGGGACGTCGACAAGGACCTGCGGTTCGACGGGGAGGTCTCCGGAGCGTCCCGTCGACCTGCAGTTCGACCGGGAGGTCGACAGAGCAGTTCTGGTCGACGGAAGGGGTCCGTCGACCAGGGGGTAGCTCGACGGGAGTTGTGGTCGACCAGGAGCGCCTGGTGGTCGACCAGAGGGACCCAGTGGTCGACCGGAGGCACCTGGGGGTCGACCAGAGCACCAGGGGTCGACCAGGTCGACCGGGTAACCTGCTCCACGAGTTCTGCGGAGGCTCGCGAACGTCGTCGAGATCGCGATGGCACAGGCGACTTCGGGCTGGTATCCCGAAGTCGATGTGGCTCGTCAGGCGCAGACAACAGCCGACGGATGCCCAACGAGGCAAGTCGGGCCAATCGTCTGCGCACACCTGCGAGCGCGCACACTGCTGTGTTCTACGGGGCACGCCGTCGACCTGCTTTGTTGGCAGGTCGCCCTTCTGCAGTGCTGGCGTGGCTCCTCTACGCAATGCTGGCAGGCGGTCGACCGAGCTGCGCTGGCGGTCGACCAGGCTAGCTGCAGGGTTGCTAGGTGCCTGATGTAGTCATTGTTGTCATTGTTTTTTGAATGATTTTCTGTGTTCTCAACTTTGCTAGTGGAGACTCTTGTCAATCTCTCCCGTGAATATGCAAGCACTAAGGAACCAAGCAAAGCTACGATCACCTCTAGTAGTTCGTGCCAACCATGTAGTCTAGTTCACTACCGTTGTAGAGTGAATCTCCGCACACAGGTCACACAGGTGGCAGGGAGGGATGAGGATGTAAAAGAGACAGCGGCATGCATGGCATGGCGATGAGAGGAGAGGATGCAACGGACAGTGTGAGGAGGTTGGTGAGCGCGCCCACTTGGGAGGGCAAGGTGCCGGACAGCTTGTTGGCGTCCATGTAGCTGCACACAGAGGCGCAGGCAGGAGAGAGCGAGTGGACGGAGGAAACATGGATATCAAGTCACACATGATGACAGAGGAGGTGACAACGCGGTAGAGAGACTCAAGAGCACAGTCATGGAACAGCGGCAATGCGATGACCCATGGGTAGACATGAGGAGACAGAGGAAGAAGAAGAGGAGGATGGGGAGGAGGAGGAGGGGGGGGAGGAGGAGGAGGAGGAGGAGGAGGAGGAGGAGGAGGAGGAGGAGGAGGAGGAGGAGGAAGAGGAAGTTGAGGAGAATTACAGAGAGGTATTGCAAGAGGAGAGAGGGATTGAAATAACCAAGAGAGGTGATGAGATAGGTAAGAATGTTACAGGTTGCTGAGTCTGGTGAGGGAGAAGAGCGAGGCAGGCAAGGAGCCATTGAAGACATTGCGCTGCACATCTCTGTGTGCACCCACGCCCCATGCACACACACATGCACACACACATGCACACACACATGCACACACACATGCACACACACATGCACACACACATGCACACACACATGCACACACACATGCACACACACATGCACACACACATGCACACACACATGCACACACACATGCACACACACATGCACACACACATGCACACACACATACACACACACATGCACACACCCATGCACACACACATGCAGATACACACACACATGCACATGCACACACACATGCACATGCACACACACATGCACATGCAGACACGCATGCACACACACATGCACATGCACACACACATGCACATGCACACACGCACATGCGCATGCACACATGCACATTCACACACGCCTATGCACACACGCCCGTGCACACACGCAAGGACAGTCGCCGTAGGGAGGATGAATGGCAGCATTAAAGGCAGGTGCGGTGCAGAACCATGGTGTGTACTGAAGGAGATACGGGGCAGGAGAACGGATGAAGTAAGTCCAGGTGGGAATAGGAAGTGAGGAATAGGCATGTCTGTGTGCGCGTCTGTGTGCTGTGCGAATATGTGTGCATGGTTGCATGGTATGCGTATGCGTATGGTTTTTGTATGTGTACGTGTATGTGTATGTGTATGCGTATGTGTACGTGTATGTGTGTATGAGTCTGCGTGTGTGTGCATATGTGAGTGTGTGTGTGTGCATGTGAGTGTGTGCATGTGAGTGTGTGCATGTGAGTGTGTGCATGTGGGTGTGCATGTGAGTGTGTGAATGTGAGTGAGTGTGGGCACATGTCACCACGGACAATTGAGAAAGGCTGGAGAGGCCGGAGAGGGCGTCGGGCAGGGATCCATTGAAGGCGTTGCTCTTCAGCACCCTGCAGCGCAGCAGCACGCATGGCAGTGCACAGTGGTGGACGTGGTGGGTCCATGGCCGCGGGGCAAGAGGGTGGACCATGGGCACAGTGGTGCAAGAGGGGAAGCGGGTGCGGTGTAGGAGGGATGTTGTGTGGGAGCATGCAGTTGACAGGGTCCAGGTGCAAGAGAGGTGTGCGGGCTCACAGCGATTGCAATCTGGCGAGGTTGCTGATGCTAGAAGGAATGGTGTTGTTAAAGCTGTTGTAGCTCAGGTCCCTGCACCATGCACCATGCACCATGTACCATTCACCATGCACCATGCACCATGCACCATGCATCATGCACCATGCACCATGCACCATTCACCATGCACCATGCACCATGCATCATGCACCATGCACCACGCACCATGCACCACGCAGCACACAGGATGCAACACGGCCAAAACGCAGCAACGGGCGAGGTGAAGCGTGCAGTGATGGGAATGTGTGCACACATCAAATGAAGCAGCAGCATGGGAGGAAGTGCTGGGGTGAAACACGGCTGGTTGCAGGAGAGAAGTGCTGGGAGGTCGCAGTGCGCATGGTGGGTTGTGAGAGCAGCTAGTGCGCACTCACAGGAGAGTGAGTGCTGTGAGGTCGCCTATCTCCACAGGCAGCGGCCCTGACAGGTTTGTCCTGCTCAGTGACCTGCACGCCCCAACACACACCAACACAGCACGGCAGCATGGCGCGACACAATGGAAAGAGCCTTGGCGTCTTATTTGCAAACGGGGGTATGAGGTAGGTGGGGAGCACCCTGTGGTGCACGTACTGTCACGGGTGGCCTGATTGGTAGAGTCATGCATGGAGCGTCCAACAGAGTCATGCATGGAGCGACCAACAGAGTCATGCATGGAGCGACCAACGACTCACGCGCTGCGTGGGTTTTCCAAGGGCGGTGCGGTGTGCAGCGGAGGGGATGCGTGCATGCACGCATGATGAGGGCAGCGCAAGGGGCTGTCACTGAATCAGATGACGCAGCGACAGGGAGGACGAGGTGGGATGAAACATGGTTGGCCGGCAGTGCGAGATGGTGGAGAGGAAGCAGCTGGTGACTTGAGAGTAAAAGAAGTGTGCACTGACAGGAGAGTGAGTGCTGTGAGGACGCCTATCTCCGCAGGCAGCGGCCCCAATGACATGTTTGTCCTGTTCAGTGACCTGCACACCACAACACACACCAACCAACACAGCATGGCAGCACGGCAGCATGGCAGCGACACAATGTAAAGAGCCTTGCAGTGACATAGGCACACGGCGCACGAGGTGCGGAGCAACCTATGCTGCACGTACTGTCACGGGTGCTCTCCAGAGTCATGAGTGGAGTGTGCAACGGAGTCACGCTTTGAAGCAGTGCGTGGGGGCATCCAACTGCCAATTGTCGATCGCTACAGAACGCAAGGATGGGAGCGCGATATGCACGACGGAGAGCGTTGAGGAGTTGAGAGGGAGGGGGCGGGCGGGGCTCACAGGGCGGTGACGGAGCCGTCGTGGCATGTGATACCGGTGGCCCCTCCTGCCACGCCACACACATCGTCCACCTGCCACGACGCCAGCGCCGCACCTGCCTGCCACTGCGCCGCCATGCTCCTCAGAGCTGTCACCCAGCCATGCACGCCCACGGCAAGCGGAAACACGCGCGGCTAAGGGCGCGAGTGGGCGATAACAAGCGGAAAGGGCAGGGCGTTGTTGAGGGACGAGCAGCACTGCGTAACGGCACTCACCGTGCACATACCGTGCCGCTCTCCCGTGCCCTGTGCGCCTACCTTGCGTTTCATTCGTAACGGCGCTGGCGCATGGAACCGTCAGGCTGGCGGCCGTAGCCAGTGCGAGCGCCAACACTCGCAGCATCGCGCTCTCGCACCTCGCGTCCCGCCGCGCGGCCATAAACGAAGAGAATAACAGAAAACTAAATATAGTGTTCCCAGGGAGCCAAGGGGCCGAAGTTGCGTTGTGGTTGCTCATGATGGCATCCGGCTCTACAATCTAGGTTTTGTCTAGCATGCAAACGAAGTAGGCCCAACTCTGGTCTCTATATGGAAGCTCTTATGAGTTTTACTAGACAGAGTGCGCGGAAGACTTTATAAAGAAAACGTGATTACAGAATGATCACACAATGAAGAAAGCGAGCATTTATAGGGCGAAAACTAGCTAGGCGAGAACCTCTAGGTGTGCGTGGCTCGGGGATGTCACGATTGGTGCGGGGCGACTCGGAATTGATTCGGTGCGAAAGTGTAGGTCGAGCCATCCTGACGCGAAGTGCTCGGGCTGTCCTCGCTAGGAGCAGCCTCTACAGTAATGAATTGCATATTCATTACACTCTCCCACCTTCTAGATAAGGTCCCCGTATATGTAGACGAGTCTTGCAGTAGCGTGAAAACTGCAGATCTCGGTTGAAAACTGATCTGACGGTGTAGAAGTCGTTGACTGTCAAGTTGACGCGTGGCTGAACGCGTTGACCATGCGAAATTCAAAAAGTTGGAATGTCAGCCGTTGATACTGCCGATAACGATAGGGCGGTTGAATTCGAATGTCGAGTTGAAGAGTTGTTGATGCATGAGAGTCGTCGGTGTGGTGGACATCTGTCGGACGGTCAAGATGAACACGTCGTGGGCGGAAATGCTGACGCGTTGTCAGAAGTCGATGAAGCAGGACCCGTCGATGTCGTTGATGTGATCGCGGGCATCCGTCGTGCTGAATCTGTCAGAGGAAATGTCAGAAAACTGACAAGTACAGTGCGGGAGCACTTTCTCCCCCCCTTTTGGAAAGGACTGCCACCCAAAATCTCCGCGTGGTAGCACCGAATCACCCTGCTGCCGCAGTATCTTCAGTTGTCAGCTGCCGCTGTCCCGTAATTGCTGTCGTTTGTCTTGCTGCAGTGTCGAAAATCCTCGCTGTATCTTCTCCAGCTGTCGGCGCCCCTGGTCGTCTTGTCCAGACTCGCCGAGGCTTTTGTCGATATTCGCCGAGAAGTACCGGGCAGAGGCGAAAAACAGCTGCTGCTCTTCCCCCTGACCTCGCAAATATTTTTTCAAAGTTGAACTTGAACTGTCGATGACGTCAGCTACCTCGGCGATGTTGTCGTGACTTGCCGAAAACTTCCGGGCAGTGAAAAAACAGCTGTCGCCTCTCCCCCCTTCTGTAGCAATACTTCGTAATTGTTGTCGCTGGTACCCCCGAGCAGCTTCCGATTCGTACGGCTACACATTTGACGACGAGTGCCTTCGCGCGCTTAATCAAGCATCGCTGCAACTCCGCCGCCGGCACGGATAGTGTCAGCGACCCCGCTGACTCCGTAAAGACTCATTCTCGGAACTGCTGGTGTGAAAGAAAGAACGAGAATGAAGTGAGTACAAATATGAAACCCTAATTGGGTTGTACCCCCTATGGGATACCCCACTATAGCCTACACAAATAAGTAAGCTATAATGTTCTGACACACCCCCATAGGCAAAGTGGGGGAGAACAAGGGGTCACAAGACCAGTCAGACAAAGCAAAGCAAAGCTCAGGGTGGATCACAAAGTCACCACACATTCCGAGCACAAGTTCAAGGGCCACAAGGCCAGTTCACATGCAAGATCATATATAGAGATATACAAGAGTCAAGCAAGCAAGAACAAGAGTATATAAAGGTCAAGGTACAAGCAAGGTCAAGAAGTCAGCAAGTGAGGCAAGACAGGCACAAGACCCAGCTGCGTGCAGCAACGCTGATGATCACAAGGCGCAAGTGCCTTGGTGAAGACATCAGCAGTGTTGGCCTCAGAGGCCACGTACGCAAGTCGCAACTGTCCACGCTGCTGTAGCTCACGAGCAAGAAAGTAGCGGAGAGCAATGTGCTTTGTCCTGTGCTCCAGTCGCTGCTCTCGACACAAGGCCAGCATGGCCTTGTTGTCTACGTACAGGACTGGAGGAGAACGAGGCGGCTCTCCAAGGTCGATTAGCAGGTAGGTGAGCCAGCGAAGCTCCTGAGCAGCCATAGCCCCGGCGTAGATCTCAGCCTCACAACTGGAGCCGAGAACAGAGGACGAGCGGGTAGCCCGCCACGAAACAGAGCCGGAACCAAGGCTGAAGGTGTAACCCTGTGACGACCGCTGCGTAGCCTGGTCGTCAGCCCAAGAAGCGTCCGCGTGCCCAATGAGGACCACTGGACTGCGCCCTCCAAGCACTAGCCCCATGCCCGACGTACTGCACAAGTAGCGCAACACCCTCTTCGCTGCAGCCATGTGCTCTGGTCGGTGTCTCCCAGGAGCAACATAGCGTGCGAGAATGCTAAGAGGGTATGCAAGGTCAGGTCGTGTGCAGGTCATCAGGTACATGAGGCAGCCAACAAGCTCTGCATACGGACCACTCGACTCTACGGACTCATCCGAAGGCAGAGCTGAGAGCGAGTGGCGAGTAGGCAGAGGAGTGGCCTGAGGCGAGGAGTACGTGAAGCCGAAGCGCTGAAGGACCTGCTGCACCATGTGTGACTGAGTCAGGGTAATGGTGCGGCGTGCTCTGTCCCGGGTGATCTGCAAGCCAAGGTAGCTGCGCAGTTCACCCAGGTCTGTGCACGTGTGTCTCTTCTGCAGCTCGGACTTCACGTAGGCGAGTCCAGTAGTGTCAGCTGTGGCAAAGACCAAGTCGTCGACGTACACAAGGATGTAGAACGGCGACAAAGAGGTGTCGGTGCGCAGAAACAGCGACGGGTCAGCAGTAGAAGGAGCAAACCCAAGTGCCGCCAGCGTAGTCCTCAGTGTGTCGTGCCACTCACGTGGCGCTTGGCGGAGACCGTAGACTGGACGCCGGAGACTCCACTGGGTACCAGGAGGGAAAGACCCAGTGAAGCCAGGTGGGCGACGCAGCCAGATCTCCTCGTGCAGGCTGCCCTGCAAGAAAGCGGTGCTGAAGTCGAGAGAGTGCAGCTCGTAGTCACGGTGAGCAGCAACGTGCAGCAGTACCCGAAGAGTGGTCATCTTCGGGGTGGGGGAGAAGGTCTGAAAGTAGTCAACTCCCTGCCGCTGACTGAAGCCACGAGCCACGTAACGCGCCTTGAAGACAGGCGGAGAACCCGGCGGCCGCTTCACCCTGAAAATCCACATGCCACTGACGATGTTCGCCCCAGGAGGGGGAACAGCGTCAACGTAGGTGTCTGTGGACTTCCAGGAAGCCATCTCTGCATCCATAGCTGCCTGCCACTGAGAGGAGTAGGGACCCTCTATCGCCTCCGCGTAAGAGCGCGGAGTCGGGATGTCTAGTGCATCCGGGTCTCCCTCAGGGGCTAGCAGTACAGACGCGAGATGAGGCGAAGCGGCGGCCAGACACTGGAACTCCTCCTGCCTGTCCTCAAGGACGTCCGTGCCAAGGGCACACTCACCCTCGACGGACAGAGGACAAGCAGACTCAGACTCAGCGACAAGACTAGCAGCGTAGTCTAGATGACAGCGCGCAGCAAAGTCGAGGAGCTCAGTGACAAGGGCAGACGCAGCAGAAGACTCGAAAGAAGGGTCAGTGACAGCAGTAGCAAGGAGACGCGTGACAGTAGGACTGGCAGCACGAAGAGAGTCCGACTCCAGGTCGGCAAGAGCAGGAAGAGAGGAAGCAGGAGGAGAAGGCAAAGGGGCACGCAGAGGAGCAGTGGACGGACGCAGAGACATCCGGTGCGTGCCAGGGACAGGAGGAGGACGCTGACGCGAACCGCGGCCACTAGTGCGTGCAGGACGAACAGGTGACGCAGGACGAGACGCAGGCTCACGACGCTCAGTAAGACCTCCAGTCGGACCAGTGTAGGGAGAAGGAGCAGGCAAAGGGGAGACAGGCTGTAGCTGTGACTGGGACTGGACAGGCTGTGGACCCTCTAAGGGAGGAGGAGGAGGACCAAGAACCTGCTGCAGGAGCGGAACGAAGTACGGTCGGGGCCGCGTGGCGACGCCAGAAACAGCAGGGACAGCACCAGTACCCCTAGCAGGAGTACCCGCTCCAGCAGCACCTCCAGCAGCACCTCCAGTAGCTCCAGAGCCCCCAGCAGCACCAGGAGCACTGTCAGTTGGAACGCCAGCAGTAGTCTCAGCGCCAACACCCTCAGCAGCACCAGCTCCAGGAGAACCCTCAGGCCCAGCAGCTCCAGCACCCACAGCACGAGCACCTCCAGGACGCGCGGCAGCAGCACCCTCAGCAGCCGAAGAACCTCCAGCACCAGCAGCACGCCTCCAGCGCCGGGCAAACCACTCACGGAGCTCCTGTGGGGAGAGTGGCTCTCGGCGAGACGAAGCACCTCCAGGCGGAGAACCTCCAGGCACAGCACCCCCAGGCTCAGCACCCCCAGGCCCAGCACCCCCAGGCTCGGCACCCCCAGGCTCAGTACCCCCAGGCTCAGCACCCCCAGGCTCAGCACCCCCAGGCTCAGCACCCCCAGGCTCAGCACCCCCAGGCTCAGCACCTCCAGACTCCGCACCCCCAGGCTCAGCACCCCCAAGCGTAGCACCTCCAGTCCCAGCACCCCCAGGCCCAGCTCCCGCAGCAGCACCAGAGTCACCAGTGACCTCGACAGGCTCGACCGCGTCTACCTGGGACACACCTGAAGGGGCAGGACCCTGAGGGGGGAGGGGGTCTACCGGGGGGGGACCTGGTACCAAGAAGAGCGGGGGCGGGGGGAGGGACGGAGTGCGGTAGGGGAAGAGGCGGTAGTAGGGTACCGACTCGTCGAACGTGACGTCCTGGGAGGACAGAACACGTCGAGAGGTGGGGTGGTAGAACTGCCACCCAGGGGCGTCGGGGGGGAACCCCAGGAAGACGCAGGGAGCAGCGCGAGGGGACAGCTTGTCCGCAGACAAGTCGCGGACAAACGCCCGAGATCCCCAGACCCGGAACGCCGACGCATCGCCAACCTTCCCCGTCCACAGCAGGG